TCTGAACATCAGCTTAAAGCTCCGCAGATACAACAAGACAGTGAAAATGGGTCAGAAGCAGCTCGGTAATCCGTTGCAGCTTTTCCTAAATTATTTGTGGCCTTAGCATTAACATTAACCAAATAATAACATCAGAAAATTTTCCTTCGCTTTTCCATTTTTTGTTACTAATTTTCTCCCTCTTTTTGGGATTGATTCTTTTGGCTGGAGCGTTCGGCTTAAGAATCCTGTTCTGAAGCATTATCCGCAGAAATCTGCTTGAATCTAATTATTTCGTTCCATTTCTCACTTTGGGCTGGAAAAATAAACCATCGGTCTAGACTAGGACTTTGACAATAAAATTCGCATTAAATTAATACATACCGCCTTGTAGCTTTCATCGGCATTTCCAAGGGTCTGCTTTGCAAACGCGAAAATTTGCCCCAGAGCAAGATTTAATTAAATTTCATAAAGCAAATTAATTGAAATTTCCGAAAAAACCTCTATTTCTCTGAAACAGGTTCACCTTTTTACACCACCTGCAACAGGCAGTCAAATCGAAAATTCACAATGAATAATAAATTGATGCACTCAATTCAATTGGGAATATTTAATTATTTAATTCTACCTTAATAATCCCCATTGTTTCCAATGCATATTCCCAAAAAAACGCTTTAATTGATAAAGCAACTGAGGCCCAAAAAGTGTGTCAAGTTTGACTAAAAAATCCACCGATGAGACCATTAAAAGCTACATTATTTGAGCAATTTTCATGGCACGTGTACTAAACACACATTTCAACTGAATTTGTATCATAAAACCGGCAATTATGCTTCGTTAAGTATTTCGATGGAAAAAACACACACATCAAACAATTCAATTTGAAACTTTAACAATTGCGGTTTAATTAAAATCACGAAAATTTTATGCATAACACGGAATTTTATTAACGGGTGTGTCTTTATGAGTTGGTTAGTGGCAAATTAAAACTGGTGCCAAGTGAAGATTTTTATTAACCGCAGTAATCGTTTTCCAGTGGACGTGAGGGAATACTGCCAGTCATAGACTTTAGTGGATTTTTCCGATCCAAAATGTATAAATTTGTCATAAATAATGAAGTGATGATAAATATTTATCATAAATAATGATGTTCTAATTAGGTTTCAGGCCGTTGAACCCTTGACCGGATTGATATATCCAAATATTTACATGCTAAAGGCGCTGAATTATGTATTTGGATTGTGAAGCATGCTGTAAGACAAAAAAATTATTATTTGTAAATTAGGAAATGTGGCCTGTTTAAACAGATACACCCGATTACGTTCGCCTATGTATTCGACCGTGAACTTTTAATAATAGGCATTTTGCTTGATCCCTCAAAGGTCGATATTTTCACATTTTCGATAAACGGATTTTAAAATAGCAATCGGTTCATTTCATTCATCAATGTCCATTGTCATATTTGCCTGGAAATTTACTATTTCCAATCAGCAAAGCTCCCAGTCTATTCTATTGAAAATCGTCTTAAAATCACATTAAGTTAACAATCAAAAAAAGCCTCTTGCACCCTTATAAAAGACGAAATTCGCATACACATTTAAATAAACTTAGTTTCCTTCGCTGCTGAATATAAGCATGTAAACAGCCTTCAGGTTATTTCGCAAACTGATTTGCATGGGAACATCAAAAAGATGACGAGCATCAAAAACAGCATTTTATAGGAAAGAAAATTCAATTTTTCAACGCGGAGCTACATGAAAGTGAAGTTATGGCTAATGGACAGAAATATTCACTAAACACTTAATATTCAATTGACGTTGTTTTACGTCTAAGTTTACAATGGACTGGTATAAGCGGGCATAAATTTCAGGATGTGTTTCGAGCCTATTAAGTCTCATCAGCTGGTTTTGGCCTGAGAATAACACTTCCAAAACCTGCATTTTATTTCGTCAGTATTTGACACGACTTCCTGGGCCTAAAGTGCAGGTTTAGTGTTATTTTCAGGCCAAACCCAGCTGATGAGAGCTAATAAGCTCGAAACCTGGTCCTAAAGGTACCTGGTTACAGCTCTGGTGCCGAAAGTTTAATTTTCTGTGCAATAGACTGCTTGCCAGCTCTTGACAGACTTTTCGATTATTAAAAGTTTGGGGTGAAGATGTTCAAGGCTCAAAAAATGGGAAAAGTTCGCCGATAACTCCAAAGTTGATCGAATTGACTAATAATAAGCCATTGTGTAAAGTGTGAAAAACTTAATTGAATTTCAATGTTTAAATTTAATGTGCCTCTTTTGAGTGGTCACATTTAATTATCCTTGTTGCTCACCCTGGCAGGTTCAAGCATTAAATTATCCTCAAATATAAATAAAATATTCACGCGATGCAATTTTAGTTTGTTAGCAAATGTTTTGTATTTTCAGTTCAATTTAGCAACTGGTTATAAATCGTGTTTTTTTCATGGAAACCTTTCGGTGTTTTGTGCGGAAATTTTTTATGTTTTTCGCGCAAATCAAACAACGATTAATAATTTGCAAACGCATCATTTCTGCATCATTCAATTGTGGGTTGGGTGGGATAATTCATGATGCTGCGGTTAAACTTGAAAATGTAATGTTTTCGTAAGTGTAATTTTTAATGGGATCAACTTGAACTGTCTGTCCCATAACGCTAAAAATAGACTGAGTGATTTGCCATAAAACATGCCACGTGGATGTTTTACACTAATCCATTTTAAGACTGCAACAAAGATTAGGACAATTCTCAGTTCAGGTTTTATGGCCTTATTGGGGGCTGCTTGCGTGACTTTTAACACGAAATAATCCCGGAGGGAATAAAAATTTTCAATCAATCAATCAATAGTGAATAAATAAAGCAAAATTTAAAACAAGCGGCGATAGCTTGAACCTGGTTAGTCTCTCGGGATTTTAGACCGCTATAGAAAAAATTTCTTCACATTTTTTTGGGGGTTTTTGGACCGTCGTCGATAGGAATTTGGTTCATGCGAATGCAAGCCTGCTCATGGCATCAAAACGCACCGGTTTCTAAATAAAAAGTTGCCTATAATTCAAAATAAACAGTTCATTGCCGTAAATGGAAAGCAATCAGGGGCCACAAGTAAATAAATTGTTTCGGTTACATTCTGGAGGGTTTTTTAATTAAAATGCTAATTAAGCAGCGAGGAAAATTAGGGAGTCATTTACCTAATTGACATAATCCATTTCACACAGAAAGCTGCCCTACCGTGAGCATTCATCAAGAACGATCTCATTTTAAGACGCCATACACAGACTAAAGGTGTTTACGTAAACAAATTAAACCGGGCAGAAGGATTTAAATCATGGCAAGATTTCGGCTGGTGATTAATTAATTTTTTTCATTTAATGTGAATTTCTTAATTAAGCTCGTCTAGGCTGCGTTGCATATTATTTTGAATTAAGCTACGAAGTTTATCAGTTTTAGTGCCGTTTATTCATAATGAAAAGTTGCGCTAAACGATATTAAAATTCCTGAGTTGGGCTTAAAATTTAATGGAAACAATACTTGCAAGTCAGATGAAGCCGATAATAACCCAAAAAATGTGGCAAATCAAAGAACGCTAAAAATGGACGTAAATTGTTGCAGAATTTCAGATGCGTTCAGTTAGGCGATTTATCGCCGATTATGTATCAATCTTGATAAAGATGTGCTGGAAAGTTCGGATATGAAAAACGAATCTCATGATTTACCTTCTATGGGGCGCTCACAAGAATTAAGTGACTAATTTTAAGCACTAATTGTTATGTCAAGTTTCAAGGGTTTATGAAAAATGGGAGTGTAGACACCAAATTTATTCTTCATATTCAAGCAAAAAATGCCACATCGACATGCACACTGCATAACTTCGAGCAGAGATTTTCAACATTTAGCACTTTTTAATGCGTTTGCATTAAAAGGGCTTAATTTTTGAGGCGCCTCAAAAAAATGTAGACTTTCTTATCTAATTTCCAGTAAATTCATTCCTTGCCGGTTTAATATAAAGCTTCGGCTTTTGAAGCTTTCAATGAAACTGCAAATTCACACAGCAACTTGTTTTCTGCAACTTTAACAGATTAAGGAGCAAAAAACGTTGGGTTCCAGTCCGGAGATTACCGTACCCAACTTCCACTATGTATCTAACGAAAAATACGCAAATATTATCATCGTTCAGGAAAAGTGTTTCGTTCATCGTTCTAGAAAATTATGTTCAAAATTTGCCGTAAAATTCGTCAAATCCCGAAACAGACCATCCACCACTGAAAGCTATTGACTCGATTCCTTCCAGTCATGAAAGTCGGTGAAGATACCAAAGAAACTTGCCAACCCATTGGAAGACATTAAATGATAAAAGTTGGTTGTGACATAGATGAGCAATTTAAAATTATTTTTAATAATAGTTTTACTTTTTTTAATAAATTACATGTGTGGATCGTTAGGTCGTTTATCTTAATTACTTCAAACACCAAGGATTGCGCATAGGGGCTATTATTAAAATGTTAAATAATTAAAAATAACTAAGACTGGCAGACATTGCGCGTAACCAAACACTTTGCCAGAATGAAAAAACCTGCTGTTTCACCCGAATTTATTTCAAATGAATTTCACAGCTTACCAGTCTTACAAACATATTTCTTAGTCTGGATCTTGAAAAATTTTAACTCCAGCGTGCGTGTTTATAATCGTTTGGGTCTGTTTCCTTGCAGACTCTTCCGCACTCATCATCAGCTTAAATAACGTTTTTATCTGCGTGGAAATATTTATAGGAGTATATTTGAGGGACGTGTGCTTTGCGTAAACCACAATGTCAGACGTATTTACTCGTTAATCAATTAAGACGGATGTAAATTTAGATGTGTAAATTTTGAATGCGTGTGCGAATGAACGATAGAGTTTTAATAAAGTCAATGAAGCGCCAACGCATTTAACGTGGATTTGATTTCTTATGGAAAATTAATTTATAAAAACTATCTTTAATTGGTGAAAAGATCGGGTTGCGAGCTTCAAACTTACTTTGCGGCTGATTCCTGAATGCGGGCTTAATCCATTCCTCTCGGAAAAATTGGGCCCTTGAAGTGCAGATTTCGGAGCAAAACCCCTGAGAAATTGAAAATTTCCAAAAAAAATCTAACCGGCTTACTTTGCACGAAATCAATGTTCAAAGGTTCACATAATTTGCCCATAAATTTCCGAAATTCATGCCCTGTTTCAAAGAAATTGAAAAAAAAATTGGAGCGCACCGGAGGAACAGTTGAATTTCTGAAAATGCGATTGTAATTTTTGGAGCCGCTGATCTCGAGAAAACGTTGGCTATCCGAGCTCCGACCGTCAACTGTTTCGACTAGCGGATCCAACGCGTTGCGCACTCACTCTATAGCCGAATGAAAATGTATGTGTATACTTATTCAATATAAAACGCTAAGGGATGAAAATTTTCGGCTTTTCCGGCCTGGAAAATATAAATATGCATTGCGAAGCAATCGCACTTAGACTCGTCCACCTGTATGGCACGGCGACACCTTTCGCCGATCAGAAACCGTCTTCTATGATGAATTGGTCTAGAGTCGGATAGAGTTACTCTAGGTCATAAGAAGTGGGGCAAGCACCTGCCTGGAATTTTTCAGCAGGCTGAATAATGATTTGTCCGGGTCGAAACGCCGCGTGAAAAAATCTTAGGCGTCAACCCCTCACCCTAATACATTAGGGTAAATGTACCGCCTTTTTACAATTTACTTTAAAAGTCTCCCCATTTCGGGAATTATGCCCGTGGACTGAAGCATCGGATGGGCGAGTGAAGCACACCCGATAAATGTAAAAGGTTTGCTAATTTTTTTATGGAAACGACGCAAAAAAGTTCAGTTTTCATTCATTTGTTCAGGGTGGTTCAAAATTGGTGTCATTCTTCTGGTCTTGGTCTTCTTCTTAGTCATGAAAAACTGATATCAGACTATGAAGGCTTTCACGGCTGGTTAAATTACATTTAGGAATGTTTTCTGGGCTTTGAAGCCGAGGTCTATGGGAATTTCTTCCTGACGTTTCGTCCACAACTGCGGTGGACATTATCAGAGGCGATGAGGCAGTGGGCGAAGTGATCTCCCGTGCTTTCCGACTAAGACTGATGAAGCAGTCATCAAGTCAGAACATTAATGGCCAAATAAAATTCCAAGTCCCGCCAAAGGGATTTATGTTGTAAAGTACTGCAAAAGAAAATCACAAAAAAAACTACCGGCTTTCACAAAATTCTTAAATTGTCAAATAATGAAAACACAGTTCTCTTTCTTATAATAAAAAATAAAAAAAAAACAAAAAAAGATGGTCGACAAGGTTTCAAGAAAAACAGTTTGTTTTCAGAATCTTCTACTAATACAAAAATAGTTTAAATTTAGCAGATCCGATCCGTCTTTTCTTACTTGTACTTACTTTCGGCCAAGTAAAAGTATTTTGTAAAAGAGTAAAGTAAAATATTTTGCAAATCCGCATTTGACAACACTGACTAAAAAGAAAAAAATAACAGACAGAAAAGCTCAGGGAAGGCAAGGGGATTCTCTCAGTTTCTCCTCCAACATTTATGGATAAAATTCGAGAACATTAAGATACAGAATGGGATAATGTTAATAGAATACAGAATGAGAGAGCTTCACTTTTTCAACTATAAAAGCAAACGATCAAACATGGCAGTAAAGCAAACATCAATAAAACCATCAAAATTTATTAAGTCGTAAATTARAAATACATAAAAAAATCAACTAATTTACACATTCAGATGCAGATATAAAGCGCAACGGAGAGCCGTAAAAGCGCAAGCACAGACGATTCAAGCCGAATTTTCAAAATCTGATGAAGCAGTCTTAGTCGGAAAGCACGGGAGATCACTTTGCCCACTGCCTCATCGCCTTTGATAATGTCCACCGCAGTTGTGAACGAAACGTCAGGAAGAAATTCCCATAGACCACGGCTTCAAAGCCCGGAAAACATTCCTAAATGTAAAAACTGATATATTTGCCGGCCCAGCACACAATCCTCTGAAGATGCCAACGATGCGTGCCAGCGAAACGTCAGGACCAAATTCCTATCGACGACGAAAAGCTAATGATCAGTAGACGCTAATGCAAGACAGCAGACAGCAATCAAATCTAATTTATTGTGCGGAGCAAGACTAACAAGTTTAGTAGAAACTGCCCGTTTAGTAGAAATTGCCCGTTAGTTTGGTCCTTCGAGCCGGATCGTAGATAGAAAAAATCACTTTTTTCTCCAATGGCAAAGAAATCCCAAGCAACTATCTGCGCAATCGTTCGTGCAAACGACAAATTTCGCAAATCCTCCACAGAATTGCCTAAAAACCTCTAGGAGCCGGGAAACTTATTTTTTGGCGATCACGATCACAAACCTACTAGCAGGTTTCTTGAGCATGTTGATTCTTCTCACGTTTTCACTGGAAATAGTAAATTAAGATCAGGCAAGACTTCGAACCGATTCCCAGTGCATCGGCAATAAACAGAAAGATAAATTTCCTGAAAAAACTGAACGTATTTTGCGTTCGCGAATCTAAATCGTGCCCTCGACAGTCTGACTCCAATTTGGCGCGATTTTGTTTACCTACCAATATGTTTTCCTCGACGTCGATTCCTCTTTAAACATCCCTTCTCGACTTTGGTAAACCGACTTCCCATGGAATTTGCTGTCGGAAACAGGAAAACGCATCTTAGGCTCGAAACAATTCGGCCATTATCTCTAGATAAAGTTGTGTAAACTGTGGCGCCGACGACGCTGCAGTCTGCACACGAAGTCGAACGAACCACATTGTGTGGTTTCCTCAATTTTCCAGCTTGATAAACTGGTGTAAATGAGATCACGTACGAATCTTACTTGCTACAGCATGTCGGCCAATATTGACAGACATAAAGTGAGACATGCGGCAAGATTGTGTTCAGTTATTTGGATGAAACACGTACATTAGGCTCATCTTTCAGAAATATCTCTGAATATATACATATACCAATATGAGTAAAGGTTTTCCTTCAATTAAATAAACTGCATTCATGCAGATGGCGTCCGTTTGATTCATTAGAAGCCGATTTAATTGCAATTCTTCAAAGTGTTTGAGCCAATATAGACAAATTTTCTATCTCAACTTTCCCGTCACTGCCGCCCAAAGTTATGCAAAAATTCCTAGTTCAATCCAGTTTCCCGTTTGATTCAACAGTTTTCCTGAAAACCGGCGCCCATTTGAGCCAAAAACATGTAATTTATTCTCTCCCGAAAATATAACCTGTTTCCAAAAGGTGCATTAACTTACTCCTGCCATTCGCCAAACTTATAAAAGCTTCTTTCAACTCGAGCTTTATAATCGGCCCCCTTTTAAATGCACACAGATCCAGACTGGCAATTTTGCGGAACTTTTATCCGGAAATATTAGCGAATGTTTCTTGAGTTAATTTTTTTGTTTATTACTTTATTGCTTTGTCTTGATTTCCAAACGCAATTTTTTTAAACAGTTTGTTTACGATTTTCCACTGTTCTATTTCGCTGGCCATTTCGTTTTTTATTGCCCAAAATCGCGTGTAAACTTTTCGTCTTTCTTAAAACAAAGGTTTCTTATCGACTTCACTCTGATTAATATTTGCTAGTTGGAGACAAAGAGTCTAAATAAAATACATTTTTGGGAAGTTTTATAAATATGAGCTTGATTAAGTCATCCTCAAGAATAGTAAGAGAGTGAGATGGAGTTAAAAGCAATAACGAGATATTTATACCTTAATAAATAAGTTAAAAAAACTAGCAAAATTACGAAAGAGCAGTGGAAAACATAGATTAAAAACCTCTAGAGGACAGAAGTAAAGGATGAAAAACACTATGGAGAAAGACTACACCTAGAAATGGAAGATAACATTAATGGCCAAATAAAATTCCAAGTCCCGCCAAAGGGATTTATGTTGTAAAGTACTGCAAAATAAAGTGACAAAAAAAATCCCGGCTTTCACAAAATTCGGAAATTGTCAAATAATGAAAACACAGTTCTCTTTCTCATAATAAAAAATGAAAAAAAAAACAAAAAAAGATGGTCGACAAGGTTTTAAGAAAAACAGTTTGTTTTCAGAATCTTCAACTAATACAAAAATAGTTTAAATTTAGCAGATCCGATCCGTCTTTTCTTACTTGCTCTTACTTTCGGCCAAGTAAAAGTATTTTGTAAAAGAGTAAAGTAAAATATTTTGCAAATCAGCATTTGACAACACTGACTAAAAAGAAAAAAATTACAGACCGAAAAGCTCAGGGAAGGCAAGAGGATTCTCTCAGTTTCTCCTCCAATATTTATGGGTAAAATTCGAGAACATTAAGATACAGAATGGGATAATGCTAATAGAATACGGAATGAGAGAGCTTCACTTTTTCAACTATAAAAGCAAACGATCAAACATGGCAGTAAAGCAAACATCAATAAAACCATCAAAATTTATTAAGTCGTAAATTAGAAATACATAAGAAAATCAACTAATTTACACATTCAGATGCAGATATAAAGCGCAACGGAGAGCCGTAAAAGCGCAAGCACAGACGATTCAAGCCGAATTTTCAAAATCCTCAAAAGATGTATGAAGGAAAATACAGAACGACACCAGAACAATGAAGTTGTAGGAAGAAAAAGAAAAGATGCAAGCAAATGATCAAGAGCAATAAACCAATAGGAAGAAGACTTAGGGAAAAATGTAGCACACCTGGGTGTTTTCATGGAATAAGCAGGTGAATGCCTTTCATATGGAAAACCACCTTGTAATTCGAGAGCTTGCAATTGTTTTAAATATCACTGATTCAACAAACGCTAAAAATCTATACACATAAATTTCCCAGCAGAAATGTATTTAACTTATAATGGAAACAATGGAGACAACGGGGGTAATTCCACTAGTTTGTCCTAGTTCCCGTCAAGAGTAGGCCAATCGGCAAACAATATATTTTCCCCATCTGTTGGACTATACGCCGCCCTTTATGTGGCCAAGTCGGGTTGTTTCCAGATTTATTGCGCAAAGCGAGAAAACAACGCTGTGCCGACCGGCCATTATCTGTATTTATTTCTTTTATATAATGGTTAAATGTGCAGTACCCCATTGAAACGATGTCCGGCGTAAAAGTAAAATTTAAGTGTTTTATGTGGGGAAAATCCGTCAAAACTTACTACAACAGTAGTAAAGACAATTTTGACCTGGAAAGACAATGGAAATAAAAGCACGAATCTAAATAATCCTATTTGGGGAAGGACAACAAAGAAAATTCTTTGTTGGTAGACCTTGATGGGCGCCGTTCTGAAGCAACAATTTAACCATTTTCCCTAACGAGACGAGGCTTTGTTTCGAGCACTAACGCATCTTATATAGTCTGTTAGCTGGAGGGTGCACATAATTCCTGCCTTTTATGCGGTTGAGTGGAAAGTTGAAGCTCATTTGTATGAAGGACTCCCAACTACTAAAAGCCGCTTATAAAAGTGCCAATTTGTTGTCATCCCCCAAGCCTAGTGAATGGAGAACGACGCTAATACTGTTCAGCTACTGTAAGGAGACGAAACTGAGATCAAATATTCTTGCGCCAATCTAATTAATAACTCCTTTCGATTGACAGTGTAAAATCATCCTCGCTTTATCGGCATATTTATATCATCCCTCGGGGTCTGTTTTCATTTAAGTTTGCCTTACATAGGATTCACATTACCGCTTGCTTTGCCCGAAAAAGGGGGGATTAATTTTGGGGTGTTCTGGTCCCAACCTCAATGTCATTAGGCGGTATTTCCTAACCAGATAAGCTGCTCCAAAGATAGAGTGGAAATCAGATGACTTAGGCAACTTCGAAGGGCCGTTAATAAATGATTCACTGTTTATCTGCTTTACAAAGTGTACCACCGAGTTTATGTCATTGATTCCTATTTTCTATATAAATATTCAAAAAGAGGCCTTGGATCTACATAATTGTAAATGGGAATTTTTGTGTCCTAAAATAATGGGGAAATTTTTGTCGTTTCCATTGCGTTAAAGGAGTTTATCCATCTGCGATGTATGTACTAGAACATATTATTCCTAACACGTAAAGCTTCAAAGCGATGTGCTCTTTATGCGTATAATTATAATGCTGTTATGTGATAGTTCATTAATTAGGTCGATTCGACAGGGAATATTCCACTATTACTTGGAGTCTATGGTGATTAGGCAGGTAAATCGTTGGGGGAGAGACACTAAATTATTTTACAGGATGGTTCAACCAGAGCAATGGCAAAAGACGCTTTTCTTATTAACCTGACGAAAATATTCGTTGCTTTATGTGTAAATCAACAGGGCAAAAATGGGATAAATTTACTGAACAGACGAGGCTTTCAAAATTATTGATATATTCGAATGTGGGCATTTGCGTTCGCAGTTGGTATATTTGAATTCACAGTGGGCAGACATTTTCGTCTATGTAGCGCTTTCAATTAAATCAAATAAAATCAAAATTATAAAAGCAACCGAAAAGAAAAATAACTTTAACTTTTTACTAACACTTCTTAGTGGTGCTTTTTGGAGAAATTCATTCTTGCCACTTTTTGATCATTAAATATTGCAGATTTTTCATAAGAGAACTGAAAAACCTACAAAATGGGTTAGTAACTAAACAAGCCTCTAGTACCTAGAAACAAAATATCGATTTGAAAAAAAGTACGAAATTTCAATGAGGTAAAAAGGGTCAACATTTCCCCAAAAAACAACCACTAAGAAAAATTGTCACTAAAGAGATTACTGAAAGCGAGAACAAGTTACTGGAGGTTTTTGCATTAGGTCAACTTGAGACATTTTCCAAAATTTTACCATTTTCAACCTGGCAATTTGAGCAAAATTTCACTTGAAAATTCGTTTTTTCTGCTAAATTTAATGCCATTAAGTTGGCTAAAATCTCACTTACCATTTATTGGCATCTCTGTATCCAACTGATGGCATTCCTACCGTGGCAAAGTGTTCAAACTGATGAAAAATCACCAAAAAACTTGAAACGTATCTACATTAATAGCTTCGATGTAAACATACTCAGTCGGGTATGCGAGCAGACGCTCCTCACAGTAGCTTTCACATGACAGCAAACGCCAAAAATTTCCTTCGAAGGAAAATCGCGGTTTTTTCATCAAAAAAATCCCCACCGGTCGAGAAAATAGTACAGAATGGTGAAATAAAACCTCCAGTTTGCGAAAACTATCCACTTTTCGCGCGAACTCGAAAAAAACTTGATTTTTTTTGGTTTTACGGCGAAGCGGCCGTGCGGTCTTTAACAGCCGGCATTATTAGTTCTATAAAATGACATGAGCATTGACGTGCTTTTGACGGCTAGTAAATGAACGATGGCAACCGAAGATACAAGGCAAAAACATTAAAATTGTGAAAGAAAACACTAAAAAAATATAAAACATTTATTTTTACTATTACTTTCGTCGACAGAGTGAGATCAGATGTGTTTCAACAAATATCTGTGTAAAAAGTGAATAATTTCGAGGAATAAACTTAGATTGTTGCAAAAAACCGCAGACTTGGTTGGTTGAAAAGTTCAGTAGCTAATTATTTGTTAACCAAAAATCCCATTTGTATGTACTAAACTACACAACTTTCCTCTTTAAACCGAACGCAAGTTTTGCGAGTAAATGCAGCTGTTCCATATCTCATCCTGAAAGTTCACGTCTATTGAAATGCGCTATTGGTCGAAACTGTTTGCAGCGCTCCCACTTCATTACGGAACAAGTCTATTCAATTTCTCCAAGGAGTTCGGAAATGTTCTAAATCAATTCTCAGATGTTCAATTTTCCGCTAAGAACTCGATTCCGTTTGACCGCTCCAAGAGCGCAAGTACGTAACTTGTAAGTGCTCCTAGAGCTGTTTGGAGTTGTCCAAGCAGGAGCATGTTTGCTCCTAAATAATTTACAACGCTGTCCCGTTATTCGCGTTATTCTGAAACTTCCAGCGGTCATACATTTTCAGCAAAAACATTTTAATTTTCAGCAACGCGAACTTTCCCAGTGTATTCGCTTTATTGTGGCGCTTTGGCTGGAGCGATGGCTTTTGTCATGAATAACCAACACCCTATTTGAGGCCAGTAATTTCATCATCTTAATATTAGTTTTTTAACTGAATCAGCTGAAAAATTCGTCAATGCAATTTATCCATGTAACAAAGAATTCAAGTTTCCGTTACACCAGATAGTCATTATGCCAGCCAAAAGCGGGAGTTTTGAGGACTCAAACGCGATTAATTCGGAACTATTTATCCTGAAGTCGCGAAAGGATTCGGCATTGTTAGCATTTTAACGGGATCGAGTGACTTGAGAAAAACTGAATCGAATTTTCAGGCGCTAATGATGATTTGATGGCGCAAAAAATGCTGGATGGATCCATTTATTTTGAGTTGAAGCGAAGAAACGCTCGTTCACAACGGCGATTCTAATAAAATAACGCTGCACTTGGCAGACAAATCGTTGCAACGTTGCGCAGTTCTATCGAAATATGCAAGTTTTTGTCATTGTTTCTGATTTAAATGAATGAAATTAATGTTGGCGAATTGTACACTATTCAGGAAATTTGGCTGTTTCCATTATTCTCGCTCAAATCCAATGGAGCGAAGGTCGCCTGAAAGTTTCTTGCAGAATTCCGAAGAAATTCGCTTGCAGGCTGTGGAATTTATGGTCCATTTAGCTGCAATTTAACATAGCAATTAGGTATACAGCGTTTAATTGATTGTTAAATGGAAAATAATCCGCTGGAAGGGTTGGCTGCGACCAATTGATTAAGCCTGGCTTGAGTAATATTCCATAAATGCTCCTAATGGTATTATTAACATCCTATCTGGCGATTTGTATGAAATGCTATTAAATCGATTTTTGAGCAATCGCCTGAAATGTTTGGAGGATTTAAGCCGTTTCATTGCACCGTTTAATGAACCAAACGAACATGTTAAATGGCGACTGTCCCCAGAAGAGCACTTCAGTTAATTCACATCCAACTGATGGGCTGATGTATTGATTTCCATCCACAGCGTTAGCTTCAATTAGATTTTAGATTAGAAGCCCTGGAAAATCGAGCCAGAGAATAAATACAGGTTAAAATTTCCTTACTACCGTAAGATTATGAGCGAATTACTTTGGGTTAAACCGCCAAGTCTGGCATGATTTCGAAATCTTTTGAGCCAACCAGAGCAACAAGATTAGCCAGCGGCAAAGTAGCTTTGAGCCAGGTCAATTTCCAGTTCCCAACATAACTTGGCTAGAATAATATAGCATAACTAGGAAAATAAATATGCAGGCATTAAAGCAGTTGCTTCCGAGCAAAAAGCATTTTGGCTGTTAAATTATGTTCTGCCCGCTTAACTCTGGAAATTATTTTGTAACTTCCGCCCGCCAACATATACTTTTACGTCGTCCGAGGAAAAGTTTGCTTTTTTATGAGTCGGCTGTATTGTTTCCTACTCCTGTTTAATTTAAACACTTTCAGCACCGGCAAACTTTTTCGGGGGAAGAAATGGAATTACTGCCATTTACAAGCAAATGAAAAACGGGAACGAGATTCGGAACTGCTGCATTTTAAATTCATATGGGACAGTCTGGAAAAGTTGGATAGTATTTTGTCATTATCCACATTAGGATAACTTTATAAAGGTTTATGAATACGTTTCTGAATATAAATTTGAAAATACCTGAGACAGCAACAGATTTTTCTTAGTATTTTCTGCATTTGTACGTGTTTTTGCTTTTTAATTTCACAATTTTTAGTGTTTTTGTGATTTATCGTGTTTGTTGGGTTGCCATCAAGTCTTCGAAAGCACGTCAATGATCTTGTCATTTTGTCAAACTAGTTTATTTTTTCATGCTGGCTGTTAAGCACAGTGCGCGACCGCTGCGCTTCAGATCCAAAAAAAATCCGAGTTTTTTTCGTTTCCGAACGGAAAATTGATGGTTTTTGCAAAATGGAGATTCCATTTTACCGTTTTTTCGTATTTTCGCGATCGGTAGGGCGTTTTTTGAGACACAAAAGGCGATTTTCTAAATGAGGAAATTTCTGACGTTTACTGTCAAGTTAACTTCACTCTGGGAAGCGTCTACTAACAATCTCGACTGGGTTTGTTTACATCCAAGTAATTAGTGGACGGTTATTTCAAATATTTTTCGGTGTTTTTCCATCATTTTACCCACTTTGTCACAATGGAAATGCATCGACTAAATTCAGAGTTGCCAATTAATGGTAAGTGAAATTTTTTCCTCCTTTCTTGGTTTAATGGCATTGAATTTAGGCCAAATTGCGCCTGCATATTAAAACAATCAACAACCAAAGTTCGCCTGACCATGCTTATAGCCATGTTCATGGATCACTTTTGAACAATTTTCTACTTTATCAAGCTTTTACGTTCGAAGATAACAATGTAACAAATTTCCGCTTTCTCTCTTACACCAACGTCACTGCAAAACATTTCGAAAAATTTTGCTGGACTTGGTTTGTAGGACTTTTTCATTTTTTTCTTGAGATTTTAAACATTTTGCAGGTATTTGTGTCAGTCTGTTTCGGTAAATGTTTTCAGCTTTTATTAGTAGGACTTAATTGGTTGTTTACGTACGTGGCCTGTTTTCTAATGGGAAAATTGCAAACTTCAATGAGCGAAAACCAGTGAAAACCGCATTCCATCAAGAAAAGTTGTTCGTAAAAAGATTATTTATGAAATGAGCAAACCAGGAACTTTTTGCTTCTTTTGAAATACATTTTACGTTATTTTTCTTCCTCCTTTCCATCAAAAAAAATCCTCTCTTTACCTCTGATTGCAAATAAATTAAAATATATCAGCTGCAAAGGGCCACATTCGAATAAATCAATAATTTAGACGGCAATTTGCGCCTCCACAAATTCGAAAATTCTACTTCAATTCAAATAATTGAAGCGTAATATTAGCGTCTAAGTAATTAATTATCCTACCAGGGGTTGGCTCCGTTAAGCATCTATCAATAATGCATTGTTTCAGCATGAGAGCCACCACTATACGTAAATAAATCAAAATTCGAAAATAATAATAGTTCATGACGTATGCTATTAAAGCGAGCATTTATAATGCAAATTACATCATCCAAGTTTGTTTTCATTTCGCTTTGGAGCGCCGATAAACATCCGAATGTGGCACTTCATGGTTGCCGAAATTTTCCATCCGGAAAACGTGTCCAAGTTAGGATAAATTATGTAATCGTAAAGTTTGCGTTGCTTAGACCTTAAAATGGAATAGAATATGATATGAAGTCAACTGTAATTAAAGAGCTGCGATCAGAAATATCAAACTTAACCAGGAACTTATTTTGCTTTTCTACCAAAAACTCCTTAGACCATTGTGAACAAGAAACCAAATTGTTTTGAAATTTTGTAGTTTTAACTACCGAATCTGCTGTTTTAGGAGGCTGTATGTTCCGTCAGATTGAAAAGCTTCGTAGGTCTAAAACTATTGAACAAACTCAGAAAACAGAGAAGTCATGGTATTGATGTGCTTTGCTTGATTCTACTGAACTTTAAGATTAATTTGGTTGCTACTGGATTTGTTCTTTATTTCTATTTTAATAGCTTATTTTCCTGGCCGGGCTTACAATTTTATCTAATTTTGTTGATCAGTGAGCTTTTATCTTCTGAGGCTCATTAACAAGTTAACCTGTGTCTGTCTCCGGATCGATTTTAATTTTAATTTCATACTTTAAGCCCAATCGATTTCTAACCAACTATATCTAAGTATATCTTTCGGATTAGGCCCTATACCTATATGCATATTGAAGATTTTCTCGCGTGAAAAATGGCCATTCCTTTTAAATTAAAGTCAAGAGTGGTGATGAAATATTAATAAACGAATTAAATTGGCTTTGTAAGGCCTAAAGAAATGGGCGAAAATGGCAAAGGAATGCTGGAAATACAGCTGAAAGGAGCGACGAAGCGCCCCTGAAAGCATCAACCTACAAATCTAATTTTATATTTGAAATTGGGTTAGCCGTAATGGCACATTGTATCATCTTTTTAAATGAAAATTCTCATCTACATTAAATGTGTTCTTTATGATTCCTTTCTACGCGGTGACGCCGGTCTTTTTTTTATTCCCCCGTGAATTTATAGCCGAGAAAATTCGTAAACATTACCTTTCAGAAGTTGCGTTTAAGGCGGCCGAGCATTAATCAAACTTGAATTGCGAATTGTCGTTTCTTTTCTCCATAGATAAAACTTAATGCGTCTCAAATTACAATTAGTGGCAAAAGAAAGTCAGCTTGATCAGTTACATACAAGTTTATTACATATAGGTAGGTGGAAACCACATGCACTTTGGGGGTATTATCAAAGCTTAATAGACTATTGCACGATTTATTCAGTTGTAAGCTGCTAGATAAATATTTAGCAAAAAATGAGATGCTCTAAACCTTTGAATCCATATCGGTGTATTCCTCCAAGGCTGCAGTTGGGGTAACCGGCTTGGGAGCGTTCACTGGCGTTTCATATCCAAGACATTGCTCTTTGATCCCGTTCATTTTCTCCCCGATTTCAAGACTGCTCTTACTTACAGAGTATTGCAGGAAATTTACCTTTTCATCTTTCCCATCAGCAGATCCTAAAAACGCCCAATATATCAATGATGCTGTCAAAGCAGGCCTCAAACTTGGATGGATTGAAGGAAAGGGGATTTTTTCCTCTATCCCTTAAGACCAAAATCCTTCCGATCCTTCACGGATAATTTGGTGGATTCCTGATGTGGGTATTGTTGGACTTTAGTCAAGGGGTATCAAGGAAAAGACGTGAAACTGATCTTACATAAATTGTTAAACAGTGTATAAATAATAAAATACGATTTATGCAGTTCAATGGCCATTACAGGCAATGTTTTTACCTGAGTCCGCCTCAATGGAAAAGTTGGTGAAATAACTTCTATTGATTATGGAGTTATCCGATAAATCTAAATAGCTCACATTGTCTGTCAGGAGATTGTCGAAACAGTGATAGAGGTCCAAAAACGAGGGTCTTGCCTCTGGGTTAACATTCCAACATCGATTCATCAGCGAATACCTGAAAAACACAGCCTTAGTACTTCTATTCATTTTCCCAACTAAACTTGCTGCAAAAGTAATTTATTACTTTTCGAACTTCAGATAGCAGCTGCTATAAAATGGAAACATCATAATTAACTAGAGCTACCATTATTAAGCGAAGTTGAGTAAAACTTTGTGCGAAATCATTAGTTCACATCGCAAGTTACTTGGTTTGTTCTCAAACAGGATTCTTGCCTGGTTTAAAGCGAAACGTACAAATAATGCGTTCACAYCACTTTAAAAACAGAAACAGAAAAACCTTTCCGGSTTTAATCGCATGAGTTTAGTACATTCAACGAGCCCCTCGAGTTCTCACAATTTAATTTAAAGCCACRCAATCCAGGGGCAATTTGAGGTGAATATTAAAAAGTTTAAAAAGTTAATCCAGTTATGGAATTAACTGCCGTTGAAATTTAATAACCGCCTACCTSGGCGTTTTTTTCCTAATGCGCCCACACATTACGGCCTCGCAAATGCGCGCAATTCCATTAAAAGAATTAAGAAAATTGCCCCATCAGTAAGAAGATTGATTTGAAACTCACAAGACTGTGGAGCAGTTTGGCGGCCTTTCCATTCTGTAGCCTTGCTTCAGCAAGTTGTACAAGTTCTGGACCTGGATGCCTGGATATGGACTGGCTCCAAGTGTTACCAGCTCCCAAATCAGCACCCCAAAACTCCAAACATCGGATTTGGTCGTGTATAAGTGATCTGCCAGCGATTCGGGGGCCATCCATTTTACGGGAACTGAAATTGATTTTAAAACGGTTTAAAAGATGCTCAAATGTTAATTTAGAAGAATTCC